CAAAACTCGTCGTCGTACTCTAAACACTCGACGGAATCGCGTTCAATTTGGCCCTCCACGATAGACAGGTTTAGCCCAAGACCAACGGGATAAGGACCGAAAACATCACTGGATATATGTGGCGATCAACAGACGACGGTTCATCATCACACGCGACGCACACAGATGATGATCACGTTACACTATTTCTCTTTCTTTCAATAAACAATAACACATCACACAAAAGACCATGCACATGAGAATAAGAGTAATATTTTTGAAAAGCTCTAAGTCTGAAGAAAAAATAAAGATTATCAAGAAAAAGTATGAACTGTAAAAACGTGTATATATATATATATATATTGACGTGTTAGACAACTTGTTTCACTTGATTCAACACCTTTTCAAAAAAAACTATAAAAAAACAATATTTAATGAAAATGGACAAGTGACAAAAAATTTAAATCAATAATAAGTAAAGAATTTCAATTATCTAAGAAAACAACAACAATGATAATCCAAGACACGTGAAACATAAAGCCATGATGGGCAGTCATACGATGCATAGGGCGAGATGTTACTAACTTCGCTCTTAGTCAAAAACTAGTTCAACATATGCAATTTCTTAGGCAATTGCATACAAGTTTGTACTGCGTATCATACATGGTGAAATTACAACAAATTTGGGTAAAAACCGTGTCATGTCACTGGGGTCGACGTTTTAATAATACATTATCAAATGCAACCGCACGAAAGTGGAATTTTTATTTCTAATAATTTGCACATTGCTTATAATATTATACTCATTTCTGTTTTTAAACCTAATGTACCTACATATTAGTATGGTTCAATTCTTTCACGAGGTGATAATTTACAAAAATTAGAAACTTGCAGCGTGTTGATTCACTTACACTCATAAACAATACACACTTAGCGATGTTTAATTGCCATCACGGGTTAGTAATTTTGAACCCAAATACAATACTTTGGGCCATCACGCAGGATTCATTTATTATATTATTCGTGAATTATGAGAAGCGAAGAGCTCTACGAGAAACTAAAAAAAACTCGAGCATTTAACTTAATAAGCGTAAAATTGATGTTTGAAACGTCTCAATTATCATGTCCTTGTAACTACAATATAAAAAAAAGCGCCCTTGAAGGAAAAACAGGAACACTTTTTTCCACTCTTAAATATATCACCATACAAGGTTTCACACTAAACACAAAAATAGAATAACGTTTTTGTGTTATTATAGATGACGACAAGACGATGTCACATTACATAGAAGAACATCATCTGTCACTGATATATAAAGAAAAAATAATCAATATGGAAAAGTGATTCTACAAACTTCTAGTTGAAAAATAAAGATTTATAATAAAAAACAATAAGTAGATACTAACAGCATATATGAAAACAATTATTTTTTTAACATACTGCGATAAAAAAAGTTTTAAACGATATTCGGGACAAGGTTTTTAATGATTCGCATGATCAATAAATTTGTGATGGAAGTAGAAGCTAATTTTGTTAACAAAACAATTCAAATACCTATACCAGGATTTATAGACAAAAAAATATATTAGAAGAACATATCAATATGTAGGTTTATTTTTAAGCATAATTATATCTTAACATAAAAATTACCTTGTAATACTTATAATCACAACTCACAATAGATATTATTCAAAAAAAAAATGAGTATGAAATTAAAAAAATAGTTATAATAAAAAATTATTGACTGCATGTTGAGGATTGATGAAAAATAAACCTTAACAGAAAAGAGTATATATATCAATCATACATTTTAAGTGTTCATAATACAAGTTCATGATTATTACATTTACATATAATATGCATAACGATAATATCTGGGTCGCTTTTTGAACATATTTTTTTAATAGTCAACATTCATTCAAATAACACAACAATTAATTATTAACTACCAGTATAAATCATAGAAAAAAAAACAAGTGCTTTACCATAAATATGAAATGACAAACTTTTAAAAAATTTAATAAAACAAACCATTTTAGACCTCTGAGCTTTTCAAAATGTAAATGAATTAATTACAAAATATTATAATCAAATAATAGGTAAACAATTAATGTTGTATATTTATATTTATTTCATATAAAAACATACTAAAGACGTTTTCCACGAGATTACGTCAAATTGCTTCACAGGCAGCACAATATACGAATTAATAACACATTTATCGTTTTCAAATAAAACAAAATATAGAAAAATCCTGTTTGCATGAAACACTGTTTAAAAGAAGATGAATTAAATTAGACATATTTTTTAAAAATTGCATACGAAAATATCAATCACGCAATACTAAAACACGAAAATAACACTATGAATGGGCGTGCAAGACTGAGTGGTATAATATCACAAATTCACACCGTATCCAGTGTTGTGTATCACAACAGCGCAACTCGTCGGAAAAGCGCTGTAGTTGTAACGCACCCGAACTATTTTCAATATCATACAATGATAGTATTATCATTTTTGATACGGTGTATATTGTGTGATCCGTCTATTAATTCAAAGATGTCCACAAAATAAGTAATAGTTTGTCACATAATAAAATTTTTTTTTTATTAATATCTAATAAAAACGTCAAGCTGTGTTGTACAAAAACGTTCACAGAGACGTATTGATATTCAAAATGGTTTATTTAAGTATCGTAGAAAACCAATAAACAACACGTTGAAAAAAATGTTATTAGAATAACTGACCTTCGAAAAAAGTTAAGTCATAATCTTCTTAATTATATTAAACGATTAAAGATAGATGTTAAATTGACTATGAAATCCTTTGGACAACTATAGTAGAGTAAGACTTTGGTAATAATAAATTGAAGAAACCGTAAAAATAAGTTTACGATACTAATACATTATAAGTGCTTAATTTGGTGATAAAAAATTCAAAGATTCGTTATCTGAAAAGCCTAACCCGCGGTCCACAAAAGTATTATATGTGACCGGTTACAATTTTTAAAAAAAAAAAAAAATTATTAAATACGAATTTTATAATTTGAATAATTTATTAATTTTATTCTCGAATATTTTCAAAGAGAAATTTTATAATTTAATATCAATATGACCCGTTCACTTAAAAGCATACTGATCAAATTTATGTGCAACTATAAATCTGTAATCTTTTCAATAGTCAATAAACTATATGAGTCTAAATGGACATATATATTGTAACCTAATATGTGTAACAAAATTATATTATCAGATTAATATTGACATTTGTACTTTCATATTTGGTAGCCCACTTGAAGATAATTGTTTACAAAAATAACCCGCCGGGGAAGAAAGGTTAGGCATCACTGAGCTACCTATATGAATGACCATGGTATAATACTGGCTACATTGAGAAAAATTAAGCTAGTTGAGTTCATTACAAAGCTATTTAAACCCATTCATAATTTAAGAATGTTCATAAAACTGAAATTTATGAAATGAACTCACACATCCTAAATATATTATAATCTAATAAAATTGGTAAATGATAAAAAAGTATATAAATCGAATTGAATGTTTTGCGTATAAAATTGTAAGTTCACAATTAAACACGTACTCACAACTACATGTACGTATACATACGTTTAAGGCGCATAACTAATTGTAACATATAAAGATCTTATTTAATTAGTCATAAATTACGTTGAATATATTATAAACGATAATTAAATAAAGAATAGTTGTATTAAATAAAATTTAAGTAAATTAATAAAAATTCTAATTTGAAATAAAAGCTATAAACTATAAATATTATCCCAACATAATATACTTAGATAATATAGCATAATTAAAACTATAAAAATGACAATAGGTTAATATGATAAGGGTCTATTGTCATAGTTAACGACTAAAAGCTAATAATAAAAATAATGCTCTTTAAACGACCACCATACAATTACATTTACAAATTATGCTTGGGTATCATGTAAAAATAAATTAATAGAATCGTAATCACGTCTTTTGCTGACATTATTTCGTACATAGAAAATACACATAAATATAAATCGCATTGACTATTTTTAACAATACTTTTTTTGTGAGTTTTTCTTGATAATAATTCAGATAAAACAAAATTTAATAAATTATATAAATAAATTGGGATAAATATACCATAGAAATTAAAAGTTTCAAATGTACATTTTTATTCCAAATTATTCATACTGAATCATGATAAACGAATAGAAGTATCCCACTTTAATTGTTTCTTAAAAACAAGCTTTTTTACAGTCGCAGTAATTTGAAACTCAATTGACAAAGAACACGAAACAAGTGACTGATGAGATAAATATAGTAATGGTTTGAATAATATTTATATATATATATATGATAATTTATGTTTACACGTGAATCGATATTAAAAAGGTGAAGGTTAGAATTCAAAATGTATACATACCTAGTTTTAGTATTAAATCATTTTAAATTTATATCATATTTATGACTACTGTATTTTCTATTTTTATCAGATAATAAGATAATAATTAAGGGAAAATTTTACAAATTATAATGAAAACTTAAATAATCTAACGTTATAAAATATATTCTTATTTAGATTCAATATTTCCAGCAGTACAATAATTAATTTAACTGTGTAGGAAGTATGATACAATATTAAAATCTGATTCATATTTTATAGTCCTTGAGGTGTATGGAAAGTGTGCACAATAATTTCGACATTGAAAAAACCCATACTACGATGTTTTAAAATATGTTGTAGTTCTACAATAAACTCAAAAGTTTAGTAGAAATTTTAAAACTATATTAATTTGCGTACATTTTTATAAAAATAATATTTTAAATTTTCATACACATAATAGCCATGTCGTTATTAAAACTAAACATTTTAAATACGATATACTCTATTACTTAATTAAAAATTATTTTTTAGTTTTAATTAACTAATTGCTACCTACAGTAATTCGCAATAATGCTTAAGAGTAAATCATTGTACGAAAATTTAAATTGCGGAACACAATTAGTACCTCTATTAAGCTCGGGTAATATCATTCGAACTCTCGGCGGTTTTTCAGAAGAAAATCTTGGGTCTACAGGTGTCTTGGCTTGCACGGTTGGTGACATTAAGTGATAAATGCATTTAGGCGATTCGCCTTGTGTTTCCAGCGTACTCGAACTGACCACCAAGTTTTCGCAGAAATTCTCTTCGCATCTTGACTCGGACTTCGTTTGACAAACATTTCGAAAATCACCCGTTCGTTTTTCGTTTATCGGCGTTAACTGTATACGGTCGATATCCTCGTGGTCATCACGGATACTCATTTCATTATAATTTACGGATATTTATCACATTTCGTCACAATTATTAATCCTAAATTAAAGTCGAGTTTGAACAATTTCATAAAACACATTTCTGGAAGATAGTGAATCAATTCTTATTTTACAAATTAATCCGATTTAGTTATCTATATTTATTTATATATACGTACATACATAAATACATAAAAAAATGCCTGATAAGTGAAATGGTCATTTGTACAGCGTGGTTAAAATTGGTAACCGCACATCATAATCATGTCAGATAAGTAAAACAGTCATTCTCTGTATAGCAAAGCTAAACTCTAAATTCTGATAATTAGACACATTCCAAAATATTGCATTTACATTCATTTTACCTACTAAAATGTTTAAAATATTTCTTTCAAACAGTTATCTCAATGCACGTCTTCAAAGGAAAAACATTTTATATCATAATAAGATGTGTAGTTTTCAACTCACGTGTTACAACATTACTATGCATGACTAACCAATTCTACTATGCTCGTACTTCATTCAATATGTATTCATCTTCTAACTCACATATAGTTAATACATGGGTTAGGTCAAATCGAAACGTATACTTGATGCAATACACTAAAGACAAATCTAAGAATGATCACCTCGTTATATATATTTCGATTTCAAATCATCTAACACGACTAAAATGCTTGAAGTCAAATAATGGTACCTAATGACTGATTGGTAATTTACATTTTCTCAATAGCTAGTAATTTATACGGAAAATAACGAAGTACACAATGCCAAGATGAAAATTCGACTAAAATAATACAAACTAACTCGCACTACTTAAATTTTACCAGATATCATATTATAGTTTTACTGTGAAATTATGACAATTTCGTAATATGTATTTTATTAAAATAATTATTTAGTAAAGAGATAAAAAATGAGTCACTATCCACCATGAATATAAATAAACAATTAATATGAAATATAATATACCTAGTCAAAATTATATTATGCCGTATCATCCACAGTATAAATTATGTCACAAAACACATTTTAATCACAATTAATCGTAGTTAATGAACATAATATGATAGGAAAAAACACAAGAATGTCAAGACGAGAAACACAACAAACTAACAATGATGAAATACACAACACGTTAATACGCGGTCGACTAAAGAGCCGGAGAAAATCGCGGTGGCATCATGCCACAGCGAGTAAAGCCCAGCCCGTAGCATAGCAGTGGTGTTGACAGTACAATAATTATTGTACTCACAAGATTACTATCCCGTTAAAACCGTGCACATACGTCATGTACATCACACATAAATGCTTTTAGCTATCTGCGTACAGTGTATAGGCATTAGCCAACTAACTCGGCATAAAAATGATGCACCAATGCACACAATGTAAAAAAAGTCGGATTATATTTAACGTCATTCCGTACAAAAAAAAAAAAAAAATGATTTGTACACGGACGAAAATCATATGCGAAATAATCATATTGCAACAATCTTTTATTGCCCAAACATGTGGTCATTTTTTCTGTTTGAATCAATAAAATATTTTTGATTGGTATTCCGATCACTTTCGATATGGCCTATCTACGTGTTACAACAATTACTAAACCAAATTATGTTACTCGTTAATATAAAGACAATTTATTTTAAATGTAGGTTATTTAATATTAAAAATGAAATGTTAAACAATAGCAATCTCTTAATGAATTTATCGCAATGAAAACAAATATTGATTTATGAGTTCATAAATTCATAAATAATATTAATATACACTTTAAATTATTGCTAAGAAACAATTTTAGCGAAAATTAAAAATAAAATTTATTAATTTGATTTAATTTATTCATAATAGATCGATATTTTTTTATTTACAATACCAATTTCATTATATTATTAATTACCATTATAATACATAACAAAAAATCTAAAATAATTAATACCTAATTATTATTACATTATTTTAATGAATAAAAACAACAATACAATTTAATAAAAAAAACTTATACGAGGTACGAAATAAAAATTGAAACAAAATCAACACATAATACCTAAGTAGCTTCTAGGGAAATATAATATGTATTTTAAAACAATGTATGGTAACACTTCTTATAACTCAATAGCATCATCAAATATCAACAGCCTCATAAATAGGAAGTGCAGGTGGCTAACAAAACATTCTATTACTTGGGGTGAATAACAAACACTAGATGAGGGAAAGATATTAGATTCTGTGTTACAATTTTGAATTCCAATTTTATACTGCTTCTTTCAAAATACATTATATAAATACTACATCTTGAAGACCAAGAGACAAACAGTTATAAAATCATGAAACTGAGGTATCTAGAAATTTGCTTTTGTCCTATGGGGATTGGGATTCACAAAATTATCAGAGGATGTTTTATAGTTTACAGTTTAATTTAATAGAAAGAAAATTTCAGTAGTCTGTATCCAATGTTGAAAGAATGATTTTTGCAACCAATACACATTATATATAATGCAAATTACTCATAAGTTCTTCAAAGAAATGAAAAATATGTACTATTTTCCAAACAAAAAATGTTAGTATAACCTAGGATATTGTATTGGAGAAATTCATAAACATAATTTTAAACAAATTGTATAGGCAGGTAACAGTAAAAAATTGCACAACAACATTTTATGGGATAGACTTTAATGGGATGTCATACATGCAATGTCAGTATCATAATGACATTTCAATGTTATGACTAGAGCCCCAGTTTTTATGCAAAAAATATTGTCGAATATGCACATATTTATAGACATGAAAATTCAAAAATATGCAAAAAAATTCTTTATTAAGGGGTAAAAACTCATTACAAATACATTATATAGTATAAGCTATAAAAAATTATTATTATTTACAAATTAGGGAACAAGGGAACAATTATTAATCAATTATATAAATTCAGAATTAACAGAAAAAAAAAAATATTTTTTTGGAATGAATACCAACATGAAGTAACAAAATATGATTTCAGATATTTAAAATGAAGTTTTTACAGATGTCATATAGCATAGATTTAAGCTTAGAAAAACTTTTTTCTAAGTCACAAAACACTATTAGTGAAATATAAAACAAGATATATCTTCAGCATAAGCAGAAATTTGGTGAAATTAGTGGGAGGGCTGAGCATTATTTGCTTATTACACCTATAGGTACCCCTGTACACAATTATTCATTTCAACAAGGCAATTTACAAAAAGTTTGACAATTTGACATACTCAACAATTTAACCAAAAAAACAATTAGGTGCCTTATCTTAAACATTTTTGGAGTTGGTATTCTAAACAGAAATTATTAATTAATTAAATTAAAAAACCAATGCAGGTATTATTACATATTATTAATGTTACATGAATTATGATCGTTCCAAGTCATGACAGTAAATTTGTAAAATCTTACGAATTTGATTTAATTTTTATCACAGAATATTTTTTTTTAATTCAATTATTACAAATGCCTTTTACAATTATAATAATTATTGTATTTTTAGTTACTTAACAATTTTTAGGGCTAGGGGGGCTAAGATCTGTACTTTGCATTTCTGTGGGGGGGGGGCCAAATCCCCCCCAGCCCCCCCCCCCCCGATTTCCGCCTATGATCTTCAGGTAACAACTCTACAATGTCTTCATTTTTGTCACTTTTCTCTGCTTAATATTCTACAAATTGTTTTAATTTGAGAATATCTTAGCATTTTGAGTAATACTTGTGATAGTTTATGTTTAGCTAATTCTATTCCTATTTCTCTTTTTTTTTTTTTTTTATAGATACATTTAAAATATTTTTTATTCATTATTTATAAAATACATATTTTTTATGCATTTTTATAGAAATATGAAATATATTGTCATTTTTAATCAATTATGCATAGGAATCTACACTGCAAAACATCAAAATTTATAATCAAAATTATTCTAGGGGAATTATAAAAGTATATACATTTGCATAAATATCCGGGCCCTAGTTATGAATTATAATTATACTATAAATATTACATTTTTATATGTATGTTCTTGTGTCTCATAAAGAAAAATAAAAAAATGTATTAATGTCATTTAAGCAAACTAATTGTGATATTATATAATTATAGAAATTGTAATTATTTAGTATTTTTACTCCAGTGAATTTAATAGAACTCAAACATTAAAATCAATTTAAATATATTGATCAATTATTAAATTGCAATGTTTGATAAAAAACAACATATACATCAATTTTATTATAATTATTATTATTTAATATACAGTAAGTTACCGTTATAATGAATACCTATACAACAAAAAGTCTCGTTATAACGAAAGTCATAGAAATTCCCAACCCAAAAGCTATTAAATCAATGTTAAGTAAATCTCAATATACCGAAATTATTGATTTATAAAAATCCCAATACAACAAAAAATTTGTACAAGGGAATGTATATTTTCTCTTCTTAATTTAATCTAAAGATAACAAGCATACAATTTTATGAAATTATGTACCAAACTTCATATTTACAAACAATTACCTACTACAAAATTATTTACTTTCTATTAAAACAGCAAACCCTGTTCAAAAGAAAATTGACGATTATCTATAGTAAAGTTTTTTTTTGTCATAAATTATTGACATTTGAAAAATTTATTTGTACATATTTAAATTATATGTTTTTAATTTTTTTTTTTATTCAAATTTTTGAAATTTTTTTACAACAAAATTTCCGTTATAATGAAAAAAAACTAAATATCTTGGGGTTCGTTGTAACGGTAATTTACTGTATTCTATTTTTGCAATAATAAATAACCTCTAATAATTACTAAAAATATACATCATACTATTTATTTAACAAATTCCCTTCTTCGGTATTAAAAAGTTAAGGAATAAAAAATACAACTAGCAAAATAACTATAGTAGGTAATATATTTATACTTTTATTTTTTAAGAAAGTAATAGTTACTTCAAAATAATGAATTAAAAAAAATGTTAAATAATAAGGTATTCATTTAAAATTATATAATACATACTTTAATTTATAGTTAAAATTCATTATAATTAAATTATGTAATATATTTATAAGATGTAATTATTTAAAGTACATAACTTTATATAAATGCACTAATTTGGACCTCATTTATATTTTTCATATTTTGGACAATTAAGGATTTATTTATTTAAAATTTATTTTGATGATATATTTTATGAAATAAAGTGTACATAATTCAACATGTACACTACATATAATACATTCAATTAATAATATAAAATAAAATTATTATAATATAGTTTACTGATATATATTACTACCATAGAATACATATGCTATAAAGAAACTGAAAAAAATATATTATGCTTATGTGAAAGGTAAAAACATCGTAATTAACAGTTTTTTTTAACATGAATATAGATTATTTAAATGGTTCTTAACCAGTGGTCTGTGATCTTCAAGAGCCTACAATACTAATGGTAGGGGTCTACTATGCTATTGTCTTCCTCAGTATTACACACAAACCATATGTATTATTAAAGTATATAAAAAAAAGTAGTAATTGAAATGTGAATTTTACTGTAATATCAAGGGCCAATTTAAAGATCTTTTTTACAGAGGTCCATGTGCCACAAAAGGTTAAGAACTGCTAATTTAATTTATAAAAAAAGAGTGATGATTATACTAACTTTTTTCTTCTGAATTATTTGAAATCTTTCCATGGAAATTTTCTAGTATAAATTGTATTAATAATTATGAAATTAATTACTCTAAAATTATATTTATCTATTAAGCTATTATAAAATATATAAGTGTGAATGTGCTTGTGTAAATAAACTATTTATATGTAAAAGATCAATTAATTCAGATCTCAGCTCAGATTAGCATGAAATATAGCTTAAAGAGATATGACTATATAAGTTGAATTTAAAATAGGAATACAATTTAAAAACTAAACATTTCTAGAATAAAAATATCATAAATTTATTAAATTAATACAAAACTCAAGTTCTAATAATCTAATTTCTCTAATGTTTTAAAATACAGTTAGTGTCTTTTAGTACATAAGTTAATAATATAAATACTAAATATCTGAGAAAATATATGATTCATTTGACCAATACCATACAAATTTTATATTGTATTTTAACCATAATGATTTATTTGACACATTAATTTA